ACTCCTACTACCACTTTTTATTTATTTTGTTGTTCTGGGATCAGACTTGCTTCATAGATCAGATTGATAGGTTTAAGGAATGAATACCTTAAAAGAGAATCTTTCTACCACTTTTTATTTATTTCTTAAATTTGGCATCAAATTTTACTTCTCTGAACAAGACAGAAGTGATGCTTTACGTATATCTGTTTCCACCAATGCAGAAAATAGGCGACATTTCAATTTTTATGCCAAATGTTCATTTATTTTTGCAGAACTCCCTAAACTTTAGAATTTCATGAAATTTGTTTTCAGGGGTTATTTTTGCACGCTAAATCAAATGCAATAAAAAACTGCTATGTTTCTTTATAAAATTGCGCTTTTTCTTCAAAATAGGCATATTCCACTTCAGTTACAGTTAACTACTATACACAATTTTAGAGATTTCTTTCAACTATTGCCATAACATTTTCCAGAATAAAAACGCGACCAATCGTTCAAAAGTTTTAGGACTGATCCATTTTTTTACTGACTGCACATACGTACATTGTATATTTATTGTATATGCATACACTCATGTGATATACTTTAATTGCATTTCTTATCATACATAGATCTGTTGATGATTGGAATTAAGATTACAATTGTATATGTTGATTACTTGTAATCACAATAAAATGTATAATTATGTATTTATTGCTTGTAATTACGATATAATCATGCATTTTGGTTAATATAATCATACCCACAATCGTTTCTTGACCTGATTACAAGTAATGATGATCATACGTAATCAGAGATATTGACTACCTGTAATCGCGTAATTACCTGTAATCGCGATTGCAAATGATTGACTACATAGCAGTAATTATCTGTAAACAATTAGAGTAGCAATTGATTAATATGATGCTCAACTTTGTTCCAGATAATAGGAGGTATCCTACATTCAAGCAGGATACTCAAATGCGTTTTATAGCTATTGTTTTAATAAATGGTGAGAGGACCAAGAATATTTAAGTTATTCTTCATAAATCTATGCAAAATTTTAAAATGCTACATTTTTATATAGTATATTTTATGATAAATCAACTTTTCAATGAAATGTGCCCCATTTCCAGTTTTTAAATTAGTAAATCACAAGTCAATAATATTACAATGACAGTTATAAAATTATCTTAAATTTTAAAGATGTTTTAAAAGTATATTTTTTTAATAACTTACAAGTCATCATTTGCATAACATTTGAAAAATATGACGCCTTAAAATATAAAAATGTAAATAAATTAATCAGTTCGCATTTTTAATTTTTAAATGTTTTTTATTTTTTGCATGTATCTGACAATATTAAGATACTTATTTTCGCAAATTGCATGAAATATTTATTCAAACATTATACATATTTTATGTCCATAATTTTGCTAATTAAATCTTAATGTAATGATATAAAAGCTGCATCTATGAATGAAAAATAGGTTGCATATTTCCATTTTAATGTAGTTGATGTGTTCTATTATTTATCATTTAAATTTAAAAAAACAAAATTACTTTTTCGTCATTTCATTATAAATGACATTATTTATATTTTTATATATTTAGTGAAAAAGAATGTCTTAACACTCTTATGTAAATGTAATTATTGAAATAATACCAATAAATTAAAAAGTGTTGGTAAAATGGTATCTTTGAAATACTATTTGTAATTGAAAAGTTAATACGCGCTTATTCGAGTAAAAACACAAATGAAAAGGATAAAACGAGAAATCTTTATGCTTTTTATTTTTGCTTCAAAGTTAACAACTAATATACAATGCTAATTTTAGAAAGATGAAATTCCAAGGAGATGATGGAATTTTATATTATTCATCTCAAAACAAACGAAATTTTCAGTTTTATCACATATTGCATTCATCAATGCTAAAAGTTAAACGATTTATTTTCCCACTCTGTTACACTTTCATACATGGTTAAGGTACTATTACAGTTTTTATTGAAGTTAAAAGTCTATAAGTCACGGAAATACTTAAAAAAAACATGTTTCCAATTTTACAAGTTTTGAAGGTTGCAGAAACATTTTGAACAAAAAAATAATTTAAATAAATTTAATTTAGAAAATTTAAAAAGTAAAGAACTTCTCTTTGACGTAAGTGAAACAGAACACCACACTAAGTTTTTTAGGCATAACAGATCTGCCTCGATATTCGTAGTACTTCAGTCTGAGATAAATTTAAGTTTCATTTCTACCCCTTTTATGGATACATTGATTTATTTTAATAAGGAACTTAAAGTAATCTGTAAAAAAAGCCAAGAAATAAATGAGATTGTTTTTTTTTAATGTTAAATGTTGTGCTTTTTCAAATTTCTCCCTTCTCGAGAAATTCTTAAAAGTTTTTAGTTTATTTGTCAAAAACGCGATTTTTTGTGTCTCATTAGCGTGTCAATAATAACGCTATAAGGCGTTTTTTTGCGTTTGTACCAAAACTGCAGAATTATTAATATTTGATACACAATGCTATATTCATATTTTTATTAAAGTAAAAAGAATGATGATACTTTTCGAATGGTATTAAGCAAAAATGATATTTATTCTTATAAATCTTCCCACATATTTATGAATTGCTTTCCTTTATCTCAATAAAACAGAGCTTAGAAACTGATTAAATTTAAAAATATTTGTAAAAAAATATATATAAAATTTTATACTCACAAACTAACAATTAACAAACCGCAATTAATAGTTTATACTTTCAAACTTAGTTTGCATTTTATTAGAAAGCTAGAATGTTCAATAATAATAATAAAAAAATTACTCTAAAATGAGCTGATTTAAACCATTTTTTTAAAATTTTGCTTTCTATTATTATTAAAAGTAAATATAAATAAACTCACTCGTTTAAATCACTCGTCATTATGCATATTTCAATTTTGATGTTTATATAAAGTAGACATTTCTCTCGCTATGATCTCTTAAAAAGAAATCAATAGAACCTTTAATATGTCATGAAGCTAAATAAAATTAATTGTTTATTCATTTTGTTAACAATTTGCTCATTTTCATATCCACTAAGATGCTAAAACGCAATATATTCACATTTAGTAAATCCTCATCTTAATTTTGAGAGTTGGTGAGCATGTGTGAAACGAATATCTTCGACAAGCAATATACAGCCAAAATTTGCTTCATAAAAGCCGCATAGTGCGTCCTAAATTATTCAGTTTGTAATTACGCATTCCGGTAAGTTAAAAATTCGGATAAGTAGATTAAAAGACGAAAGGAAAAGATTTTTATCTTATGAAAATTGTTTAGATATATATTTATAATTAAGTAGGCAAAAATATTACTCTCATGAATATTATTATAATTAGAATATTATTATTCATAACAAACTTTAATGGAAACGATTTGAATGTTCTTGAGCCCACGCTGCCCCCCAAATTGTTGATAAAAAACATAGAAAATTACTAAAACTATTAAAAAAATTCGATATCAATGAATTATAAATAAGTTATTTTTTCAATGTGTAAATCACAAAACCAAATTTGTTTAACTCAGTTACTAAGTTAATTAACAATACATACAATAGAAGTTAATGCACCATTAAATATTGAAAAGAATTCATTAAACTAATGCGTCTGAAAGAAGACCAACTGAAATATATGAGATTCCCCACTTTACAAAAGAAATTTCTCGAAAACAGTTTTTTTACTTAGCACCTAAATTATATAATAAATTACCATTTCAGTCGCAAAATATCCAAATATATTCTTCTTTTAAGCGCGCTTTATTTCAATTTGTGATGAACATTGACGATTTAGATCTCTATTTTTCACTTTAAAGGGAGCATTTGATTTTTTATACCAGTCTTGTGCCAATCCAAATGAAATTCTTATGTTACCTTTGTTATTTTTTATATAGTTTCATGCATTCTTTCTTAATTTCTATTTTAATCTTATTGTATTACCTTTCTCTGTCGCCTGGACAGGATTTTCCTCTTGATTCCTTGTATTTATTGTTTGCTTGTTTGTTAAAAAAATGATAGAAACCGTTAATAGAAAATTGCTACATATCAAACATAAAATTGATATGCAGCTCTTTTTTAATGACCGTTTGCTCAGAATTTCGTAAAAATATAATTTGTTAGCGCTCTGTTATGCTATATTACTAAAAGCAGTTTAAAAAAAAGGGTATTTTACTTGAATCGTACATAAATAAGTAGTAAGAATGTATAATTTAAAACTAACACTTACTTGATAGTTTCCTGTTATTTGGTGGAAATTTTAATTGAGTATAAGTTAAGAGTCTCGAGGAGTCTGAGTCGTACACTTTAATTTTCGACTATACAAGAAACTCCGAGAGAAAAAAAAGTATGCCTTGCCACATGATTTTACGGCAATAATTTGTTTTCATAAACTGTTATCTTGTTACGTTACATTTTTTGAAAAACCATTAGTCTAATTTAGGACACTTAAGTATATTTGTCAATTCATATCTGTTTACCTGTTTCTATATAGATAATTTGTATTTTTGTTATGTTTCATAGAATAAAATATCTTGTTACATAATTATGGTCAAGCAGTGGATTTTTTCCTAATAGAACATCGAAGTCGAGCATAACTGGCTGAGGTCAGCAAATGGGTGGGTGACCTCTTTGAACAGCCTGCGTAGGGACCGAAGTTGCGTGGTATCGGTGCTCCTTAAACTTTTTTACCGTAAAGTGCTCGACTTCATGCACAGGTCCTCGCGCTACCAAGGCAGAAAAGCCATCCCCTCTGCAGAGGATTAAAATTTTGATGTCATGTCTTCGGATTACCCTCAGGGATGTTTCCCAAACTGTTGCCAACAGCCCATTGTGCAGCTCTAGTGCGACGTAAATGAAGTGCCTACGTATCGGAGATTACGGGTTATGTAAATTGTATTGATTTTGTATCAAGATGTTATACCAATGAAAGTAATGTTATATGAAGAATGACTACTTTTAAAAAATTTAATTTTGTTAATAAGAGAATGAGATCTTTTTGGAAAACATTTATTTACATCAAGAGTAACACCAGTAGAATAAACACATGAATATGATATAACAAAAACTGAGGATGACAGAATTAATATAATTCGCCAACAACTTGTTCAACACCGTAGAATTAATATAATTCTTAAATTTTTCCACTGCTCAAAACTGTGCATTTTTTTACAACCCATTTACGAGAAAGATATCTGAAGCATCAATCGGAATGTTATGAATTAAATAATATATAAATTTTTGTGTGGTTATTTTGCTCTGGTAGCGCCAATGCAAATGCTATTAGCAAAAAATCTTAAAAAAATATCAATTTCAACTAGATTTGTTTGGAAAAAAAATTGAATGATTTCTCTGCAGAACTATAGTTTAGTAAATAAATTCTCACATTAAAAAAATAAATGATGTGTGTAAATGAGCATGAATTTTTTTTATTGAAAACAACAACCATTTAGTCTAAAGCAGAAAACAACACGATAAAGAAATGAATATACTAAAGTTTCGGTTTCTTGTTTAACGTTTTTTAAACGTATCTTTAAATTTGGACTTACAAAACATGTAAGTTATGTCAAAATATCGAATATTAAGCGATCTTAAATCACCCTACATAGCTGGAATTCTAATTATAGGCCTACATTCTATTCGAAAAAAAAATTCAACACTGCCCTTAATCTACAGATCGTATTTGTTGGGTATCATCCCATTTATTTATTATTTTTTGTGTGAAAAATTCTAATAATTCAGTTAACTAAACCATCAGTTAATTAAACCTTTCCCAACGCTTAAAATGTATTGTTACTTAATATTTTGCACCCAACCTAAGATTACCACCAAATATCTTTAAACTTGCTTCCTATTTTCCTTTTTTATTATCTCGTTCAAGTTTGTTCCTATGTACCACTCTGCAAGTGTTTATATCTTTACTTTTTACCGTCATTTTGTGTTGTATTTAGACACAGAGGAAAATTCTCGCTTACAGAACGGGAACTATAATATAACCATTTCTGTACTTTGATTTGAGCTTTTTTCGTGTTGTTCTTTGCTTTAGTCTACGTAGCAAAAAGTATGCCCTAAATAGTATTTTTAGAAAACTCTTTTACCTTTAAAAAATGTCCAAGTTACAGCTAAAGAAGAAAAGCTTTATATAAAAGCAACCAGCAGTGTTTTTTTTTTTTTTTTTTTTTTTTGTCTGATGGAGTAATAAAACTTGATGACGTATTTAAAGAAAAGAATAAAGCTCAATTATCGAGTGACACTTCGGGTATCTTTCTCGTTTGTTTCAGAAATAGACCCAGTTTTTTTTCGTTCAGGCGTGCAAATTTTCCATTGAAATCTTAACAAAAAAGAAAAGAAAATTAACTGATAAAATGAAAAAGTTCGATGAGCTGAAGAGATCTTTGTGAAAGTAGGACTTCGTATTGACAATAAAAGTGCGATATCCAGTACTTTAAGTAATTTATATATGTAGACAGAAATGTTTTTCATGAAGTGCAAATGTATAGAAACTTTATTATGACACGGATAGAAAATTTTGGCACACACCAAATTTCTTAAGGATTTGAAAGGGCTCTGTTACATAAAATGATAGCTTAAATGAAGAAGATGCCTTTTTTTCGCTTACAGAATCTGTACAGATGTCATTAAACTCTTGATTATAAATGATATATTCATAATAACTCTTAACTGTCTCCTTTAAATCAAAAGATATATTTGATCGCCTCGTAAGAACAACTCCTTGAGAAAGTTCCATTCTACTCAAGGCACTCCAAATTCAATAGTTGTACGATTAGATTTACAAATAAATTATCACAAAAGTGGGAACGCTCCTTCAGGTGGACCACATCAAGACTTTGATAGCACGAAATGTGATAAATATCATACACTATTATATCAATATCAAACAATGTTTTTGTGTCATGATATCCATCAGATATTGTTTTCTTTTGCAAGGATAGAGAAATGTTGTACAGCGATAGGCGTACCGTAATCGTCGTTTTTTGAAAGACCCTTTCTTTCACGTGCTCTGCCTTTTTCTGGAGATGGCCATTAAAAGAAGTAGGTCACAAATCAATCCGTTTTAGGGTTAAAAGGACGGTGGAAGTTGTTCTTAAAACCAGATTTAATATCACATTATCACCGCATTGGTTTGGTAGTGTTCGGAGGATTATTCCATTTCTCCTTGTTTATTGAATCTGTTCTATTTCCATCCTCGTGGGAGGAGACATGCTGAGAACAGAATGAATCACCTCCTCCTGTCAATAATCAAACAAATAATCATAATCATAATAAAAAAAGAATCATAAAAAAAGTCATTACATTCATCTATTGCAAAGTGATTCATTTTGTAAATATCAGGACCAGTGCTTTTCTTTTTAAATGGTATCTAGGCACTAGTTTCTTCAATGAAACATATTAAGTTTGTGAAAGAAAGACATTCTGTTTGCATTTTTTTTTCATGTACAAAGTTAACATAACCTTAAATGCATATTTTTATTTAACATTTTTTTTCTTTTTAAATCTACAATAAAATAAAGAGTTTGTGTGTATGTGTGTCTCTTATAACCCCAGAGCTGCTTGTTCTATCATCTTAAAATTTGAACAATGGCTTTGAAAAGTAAATTTAGCCTCTGATCCTAAAATTCATTCGAAATTTTCACTTTCGGCAGAGCCGTATGAATTTTTTTATTGACTTAAAACTCGTAATCAATAGAAAAGAGACTGTTGCAGACGATTTTCTTTCTTTCAAATATTTTAAAGATTGCGCCATTGATATTTGATAGCTTATATTTATCATTAAAAGAAGAGTTTTTTATACGCTTCTTAATATCTAACTATTTTTTCATTCGCTCTGTCAGATGAACTCAAATAATCAGCATGAAAAGGATAGTATTAGCAGATTAGTATTTCGAAAGTTATTTGAAACCACTTGTTTATTTCGTTTATAGTTACGCTTTTAAAACGTGACTTTTTATGACTAAATACTTTATAAGTAATTGAAACAAAAAAAAAGTTATGCATTGAAAAGCAAAATTAATGGAGAAATATTATGAAATAGAATTTGTATGGGAGAATCAACTGATTGTGGTAAAATTTTACTACCATAAGTTAGTCTCGGGCAACAGCATCATGTTAAATGATTCTTAATATGGTAATCTTAATTTTGATGGGATGAACTACTATGGGATAAAAGTATGGAAAAAACTACCAGAATATTGTAAAATGTACAGTGTTTCTGGTTCTATGAAAACACAAACAAGCTCGGTAATTTATTACCGAAGAGCTTCGGTAATGACTTTCGTAAAATTACCAATAAGTTATGGTTTTATAATATGTGGTAATATTTGGTAATTTTATCAGGAGTTCTTGGAGCGTGATGGAAAAATCCTTTATTCAGTTAAATTTACTTTTCATTTTTGTATTTTTTACTAAATGTGTGATAATAAAAACTACAATTTGAAAAATCAGAATTTCCAGTGAACCCCTACCATATGAGCAAAAAACTATCTAAGTGAGTAGTTTAAGGCTTAAATATCATAAATTTTGGTTTTTAATACCAAAATTATGCTGTTTTTTTAATTATAAATTTTAGTACTATGTAGTAAGGGTATTTTACCAGAATTTTTTTCTCCATTTACTAAAAATATGCCTTGAATAATACAATAGCGTAAAGCAAACGGAAAGGACAAAATGCAATAAAAAATTTAAGAATTGGAATTATTTTAACTTTATTAATTGTGTCGGTATATGCCTTTCATTTTTGTGCAGGATTTTAGAGTGTTGTTCAATACTGAAACATGGATTGCTTACTATTCTCCATCCCGTACAAAGAAGAGGAAATCAGCTATCATTTTGCATAAAATTAAAAACTTTAGTGAACTGATATGATTTTTATTTGAAGCCAAACTGTAATTAGATCCAGAAATTCTCAATTTTTACAGTTTAATTTCGAACAGAAGTTGCAACCTTGAAGAATTGGTAAGACATACATAATGTGAATAAGAATTGGTATACCCATAAATGTCTAGAAATACCATGAGCCGCTAAGATTGTTTTGTTATGTTCATTAAAAATAATAAATAATATAGTTGTGACATACATTGATTAAAAACAAAAGCATGTGCCAATTAAAATAAATAATTGCATATTTGCTTTCTTTTCGAAAGTTATGACTTATATTTGTAATAATATTGATAATTATAGAGAACATATTAAAGCTGAAAAATACTTAATGAGCTGTGTATAATATATATATATATTAATGTTTCGACGAAGCAATTTACAAACAGTCATAAAAAATATATATTTTACAACCCAATCTCACCTTGTTTATAAGAAGTAGACATGTAAATAGGCCTCGTAGGACCCCTTTTAATGGTTGCGAAAAGACCATCAGATCCCTGAAATAGATGTATGCCTGTATAGAACTTCAATAATTCGGTTTTATAAGCGACATTTAGGATAGATATGAAGTTATAGTTCCAGACCAATAAACAATTTACTCAAAAAAATTAATTTATTCAATCTTAAGAAAGGCTTCATTCTATTCGTATAGAAAAAAAAACTACAAAATTATGTTCATTTTACTCAGAATGTCCAAAAAGTATGAAAGTGGTAAAATATATAAATAGAAAAATACATCTAATTTTAAGTCTAAAATAAATATGAGTGAAATAGTTTCAAAACAAACATTTGATGCCACTGAACCCCACTCCACCACCTGAAGTCGATACTCAGGCAAAGAGAATCGAGTATCATTTGCTCAAAATGCTAAATACTAAAATATTTTTCTAAAATTTGAATTCATATAATGTGCACTTCTTTTATATTTTACGAATACATCATCATCTGAGCAATCAGAATGCTAAAACCTATAAGTCAAATCCGGTACTTTTTTGTACTTCGGTGCATAAAAAAATGGAGCTTCTTATTGAAAAGTTTGAATTAATCTCTCTCCAGCAATCCTAAAAACGAGGTTGGGGGTTTGAGTCTATCATGCATCTTTTAAAAATATTTCCCATTTGTACTTTTAGAATTTTGAACCGATCCGTATTTGATGGTTTCCATATTTTTTGAACACCGTGAACAATTAAAGAATGTTTTCAACAAGGCTTGTGATGTGTTTCATCTTCATTCAACTTATCTTCCGACTTATTTCAAAGGAATAATAACTAGTATCTTTGTTAATTTTTAAACCACGCGGAAGGAATCGTATCAAATACACAGTAAAAATAGTCATCACTTTTTATATATTTTTTTTACATTTAGTTTGTTTTTACTATCTCAAAATAACAAACTTTGTAAACGACAAAGTCATTACTTTTTATATTTTTTTTTACATTTAGTTTGTTTTTACTATCTCAAAATAACAAACTTTGTAAACGACTTAAAATATTATAAGCTATATATTATCTAAAATATGAATATTTCATGTTTAAAATGCTAATTTCTTAATAATTATTAAAAACATTGACAGCAGAGTAAAAATTAGTTATCAGACTTTGTTATTGATTATTAAAGGTTATACTAGCAAAGAATCATAAAATCAATTGCAAGGGTTGCTTAAAGAAAAGTTTGTTGTTCTTATTTTATAGCAGCAATAGGATTTTGAATGACTTGAACTTAATTTTTTTTGAAATTAATAAGATATAAATATTTACCTGTCTCGTGGAAGTATCATTACAAGTATAAGGCTCAGCATAGTCCGTTTTACCTGCAAATATTAGAATAGATGAAACAATAATAACATATAAACTAAAAATATATAAGACTATTTGAAAATAATTTAAAATAATTGCATTTTGTCAAGAACTTTTCAAAACTGTGCTTTTTATATGCAGAATAAAATGTAATGAGTATATAGTTAAATGAACTATGTACAATCATTAATATTTGTTTATATTTAAGATTAGTATTGAAGGAGACGAAAAAAATAGCCACAACCAATATTTCTCTCCAAATAAAAAAAGACGCATTTTACATCCTACGTTTATTTTTTCTTAGAAATATTTTTTTTAAAATGTGTTTCATTTATGTCCTGATTTAAAAAACTAATGAAATAATTGTTTCGTATACATTTTAATGAGGTGAATATTTATCAAAAGCTGAAAATAGAAAAGGCAGATGTTACATAATAGAAGAAGAGGAGACATTGATTATTTTTAAATCTAAGAAAGTATCTAAAATAAACTTGAGGGAAATGAATTAGATTTCTAAAAGTTTTATTTTTGGTGTAAAAGCTTTCTTCTATATTAAAATAGAAGTGAAACAAACCAGCTTCGCAATTCTTTAAATTCTAAGCTCCCACCGCAATTGATCCGATTAAGATGGTTATTGCTCTCTTCCTCTTAGAGTTTATTAAATTTTGTCTTGTTCTTTCTTGTGTTTTAAATAAAGTTTAAGTGGATGATTTAGAAGACGTAACTTTTAGAATGATTTTTATGAAGAGTTTAGGTTTGACAATTAATTGCATTTGCAATGCGTTACACTTTAATTTTGAAAATGTTTAAAGGAAGCAAAATTAAAACTACCTCTTGAATTTTGTTCTTGTTCGGAATTGACATAAAATATTTAAATAAAATTACTGTACTAGTACAAAGAATTTTAACTGAAATACTTTGAATGAGAGAGGGAGAGAGAATTTAAACAAACTTAAATTTTGAAAAGAACATTCAGTTTTTGTCATAGAAATAAACTGGCAAAACAATATTTAAAATACAATGAAAAGGTTTTATATTGCTAAAAATAAGAACTCAAATTTTAATTTTATGGTTTTGTAAAATTTAATAAATCAGAAAAAATTCTATTTATTTTATTCAAATAACGCGTTTTTTCAACTAAAATTTTAAATTGTCAACTAGAATTTTTAAAATTTTTAAGCAATCAGGATACATAACACTTCAAAATTTTTTCGACTTCTATTAAATAAAATAAAAAATATAATTTATCTTCAGTGAAAAAATTGGGTAAATAATTTTAATATTTGTGCCCAAAATTACCTTGTATGACTCCTTATTTTTCCAATTTTGTAGTTATTTATTATTTTGAAGTTAGAAAAATAATATTAAAATCGGAACACTACACACAATTGGTCAAACCCAAAGGATGCATTAAATTGTAAAGCATGCGGAAATAGATTAAAATGAAAACTATCAAAATATTTTTGAAACAATTGCGTTTTCTTTCGTTGTATTTAACTTTATCTTTTATTTAGTATTTTGTAAGAGTATTTTCAGTCTTTTCTTTTGTATTTTCAGTCTTGTTGCTGAAATCATACTCTAGAATTATATTCTATAGAATATTCATTCAAAAGTGTATTTGCCTCTCAGTAAACTGATCGGTAAGACACAGTAAACGGCAGATCACCGAAGTCAAGCTTTACTGGCTGCCGTCAGTGAATGGCTGCCGATCTGCCTACGAAGGAACCGAGGGAACGCGGTATCGTTCTCGATAAAATGCTCAACTTCGCATGAGGGATGTCGGGCTGTCAAAACGGACGCAGCCATTCCGTCAACAGAGGATCAATTTTTTTGTCGTCACCGCTTCATTCTCAGGGATGTTACCCAGACCGTCGCCAATAGCTCATTGTGCAGCTCTAGTGATATGTAAATGCGTTACTACTACTAAACTTTATTTAAAAGGTTTCATTGTGTTCTCCATCAAATTTTAAGATCTACTAAAGTAAATTATATTTCCGTGATATAATCAGAAACGCAGTCAATTAAAGAAGTCAAACATCGACAAATTTGAAATCACCACCTCAAACGGGAATAATCAGAGTTTACTATCGCCTGAACATTTTCATCTACCGTCTGAATTAGGAAAAAGTAATAGTAATCAGTTTTGGTCTGGAGTTCAATCTGCACAGCATCCTAAAAATGTACAATAGTTGTTGTTGCTCATCCCCTTAATCTGACATGTGTCAGATAAGCTCCAGGACACCTCTGACAGCAAGAAAATCGGCACTAAAAAGGGTATCTGATGTAAGATCCACCTTAGAAAGTCCAAGGCACACTAGAATAGGTTCCGGCGAAAATGGTTGAACACAGCATTTTTTGCAAGTAGGGAAGATCTTCCTGCCCGTCCTCAAAAGTAAGGCACTTAAGATGGCCACTTGCAAATTGGGCCAAAGCAGTCTGGGTTATCCGGTCGCATTTTATGTCCAGCAAGGTACCAGGGCATGTGCTATGATACCAGTGGTGTGATACCAGTATGGTATCAGTGGTGTGCTATGATTCCAGTGGTGGGATACCAGTGCGCATACTAGTGGTATGAGTTACAATAAATAAAGCTTGGATCTTTTAATGAAACAGAGTTCCCAATAAGAAAGTGAAGAGCCAGTGATTGTTTTGCCTTCACTTCCTTTTTTTCAACTTTATACAATTGTATTATTATCATACCTACCAGGACAGGAGTAATGAGAAAATTTTGCCGTCTTGGGTGGTAACTGCTTAGATATATCGTTCATCATAAGTGAATCTGTACAAGGTTTTCGGTTGTCGCATTCTGTAAAAGAAAACAAAAGATTTTCTTAAAAATAATAAGAAACTTTTTTCTAATCTAATATACGAATGTTTTAAATATTTCTGCAAGATCAAGTAATATATAAAACCATATTAGTAAAACTAATTTGATATTATGGAAAAATTGATTTATACTTTTTTCAAAATGAGTTGAATATGTAAGTGTAACGATACTCAAATAAATATAATATTGTTTACGAAAAAATTAGCAAAATTCATTCAATGGAATTCACATTTTTTATGTCACCTGCAACTTTGTACAACTTTGTAATTACTTATGCAACTAAATATCTTATTAAAATTTTTAACTAAGAGATATAACATCTATACACTGTGTTCAATAAAATCTAAATTCTTTCATCAAATTAAAGATTTTTTAAATTATTTTTATAAGTACTATACATTTATTTTTTAATATTATATGTTTTTTTGATCACGGTGAAATCAATTTATAAAGGAGTTAGATTATCGTTATTTAATCAAAGATATAACGCTTACCAATAAATTAATAAAATGGCTAATAAATACAAAAAACGTAGCTTTCTTTCAGAAGTAAAGGAGTGCTTATTTTTTTTCCCGATTAAATTCAATCATTTCACAGGAAGAAGACAATTAACTATTAGAAAATCAACACTTCAGAAAATTCGATTGGGACTCATTGTATTAAAAGAACATATGTGGAATTTTTAATTTCATTAATACACCAAAAGAATATCATTATAGTGAGAACATTATATCACCTTCAAGTAATCTTCGAAGTCGGAAACATTAAAAGAATGGATAGATGCAGCTTTTAATTTCCAGGATTGATCTCATAACTCCAAAAATATTTCATGCATATTACGTACTCAATGAATATATTTCGAAGGAAGCTAATACCGCCTGCTGTTATAGATTAGAAAAAAGAGAAAAAAACGTATTTCACTTGAGGGTTGCACTGATCCAGTTTTTTCAATAGCAAGGCAGTATACTTGGATGCAAATATTTCAGTAAAAGCGTTTAATGTCCAAGTTTAATTTTTTATTAATTTTTATATCATTTCGATATTGAGGTTTTCTTAATGACTTTGATTCTTAAACCTCGTTCATTTTTATTCAATTCTTTTGATTTCAGAATTAGGTGATATGAATGCTTCCCCATACTTTTCAGACAAGTCTTTTGCAGACTCACTCTCTTTTTAAAACTAAAAAATTCACTAAAGGAAGAAGGGTTATGAAGTCATTTACATGTTGAGTGCCACGTCAAATCACAGTTGACAGTTACTAAACTTTCCATTTAGGACCCGTTAGTCGACGGTGACTGATAGTGCAAAAATATGACATAAAACTAAAAAAAATTACTCTGTCTTAATTAATTACTGAAATTTACTTAATTTTCACTTATTACAAATCAAATTTTTAATAATTTCTATCCGTTACTAGTGTATTTCACATTGCTATGTCACAATACGAACGCTTTAAGCAGTGTGGGTAGCTTGATGGTCATTTTCATAAAAATACACGTAAAGAAAGATTAGAGTTGAAGAGAGCCTAACCAAAGAAGGACTCTCTCCTACAGAATTATATTTCGGCCTGTGTGAGGGGTGACTTTGAAACATATCTTTAATGCACACTATTTTCAGGAGTTATCAGATCATCCCTGTAAATGAATAGACGCAACACGTAAAGCTTATGGAGGGTTACCATGATGAGCTCGGCGATCTTGTGAGTGCTTTCTGAAACAGATCACAATGGCGAACAGAAGAACCAGCATAACGAGTGAGCTGACGACTGCGGGAACGACCAGAGCTACATTTTTGTAGAAGGGCATGTCCGTTTCTCTTTTCCCAAAAGCAGGAGAAGATGTTGGCGCTGAGAAGAAGAATACATTTGATAAGTTTTCTTTATTGAAATTTAAAAATAGAACAACACATTTCTTTTACTAAACAAATGTTATCTACACAGAGCTTATGGTATCACGAGTCCGTCAGTTTTCGTGAGAATACAATTTTGAGTTCACGCTGCAACAGTTTGTATTACAGAAATGAGTCAAGGTATTGAATCTCATGCAACAAGAGTTACTTGAATAAATGAGAAGAAGAATATAGTTAAATAAACAATTTTGGGGAAAGGGATACATAAAATATTGCAGTTCAACAGTAATGAATAAATAACAAAAAAAAATCTATATTCACATCGTTTTTCTTTTTATTGGTAATTTTAAAATAAGTTTAGATGTTCAGATGTTGCTGTTAAAAATTAATCCAAAGCCTTCTAAAATAGTTTAAGCTGATTTATTTAATGAGATATTTAAACGTTATTTCGATTAATTATACAATTGAACTCACTTAATTTATTTTTTTTATTGAATTTTGCAATAAAGAAGGAAAAGAAAGAGAGTAAAGTGTCAAATGGAGGTAAATATTATAGTTTTTAGAATTTTTATAATCCTTTTTTAATTAATGAACAGTTTAGTTAGAAGCTCAAAATACTTATAAACACGTGCTTTTAAATTTTTTTCATTTTATTTAACAATTCAAGCAGAGAGAAAAGAATGAAACAAAGTAAATTTATAATTTATTTATAATAATTTACTCATAGATTTCTAATTTCTTCAAAAGAAACATAGATTTGAATTTAAATTGCACCTTGAACTGTATATATTTGCGAAAATAAACTTTTTAGTATCATTACTTGTAATTACGTCAACTTCGAAGAGAAATAAAAAATACAAACTCGATTTAAAAAAAAAAAAGGATTCTTGTTCATGATAGCATAATTAAATTCATACGATTTTTCTTTAAGTTTTATATCGAGAAAATTGTTATGAATTGAAAAACTTAATAAAAGGATTCATACTTTACCTAATGCTGATGAAGGAAGTGTCCTGATTGCGTATTCCCCCTGCGTAAGACCAGCGTCACTGTGAGCAATCACCATCACATCGTAGTCACGATCCGGCGCCAAATGACGCAATAGGTAAGTCTCTCTGGGCATCTCTAATTTTTCTGTGGAAAGTATCCACTGGCTTTGGTATTTGGGACGATACTGGACCATGAAGTGCTTGATGGGACACCCGCTGATCTTCCACGCAGACATGATGAGTGTGACAGAGGTCGCATTCGGTACTATGAAAGCTGATTCATGTGGAGACATCGGGGCTGAAATAAGATAAGTCGATTCATCAATTAAGATCTACCACAAGTATCAACTCACCAAAAAAATTTAGCTGAATAACGTGGGATTAGCAAAAAATTATTCATTTTAAAAAACATAATTCTGACATACCAGCTGAAAACTTTTTCGTGCATTTTTATTTGTTAAATGTTTTTTTCATGGCAGGCACTGAAATCATCTTCCTTCGCCAAGGATGGTGCCGGAAATGCTGCTCATTTTGCCTGGTAAGTACCTTGCAACTAGAGTCACTGAGACTAGCAACATTACTCAAGTCACACTGCAACAGACTCATTAGGTAGGCCACATTCACTCATCACACACAACAGAGGACAACACAGAGAAAGAAACATCCATGCCCTGAGCGGGATTCGAACCCGCAGCTATTGGCTTCGTATTCAGGCAAGCTAACCACTCTCCCATCAGGCCGCCAACTTTTCCGTATCGTACTTTTTCGAGTATCTTAGCGCACAAAACGGTAGCAACTACATTTACAGCAAAGTGGTGTTAAGTTTACTGTTCCACAACACTAAGAATGTTCTTTTGCAATACATGGTTGGCAAACACCACCATTTTTAGCATTTTGTAGCACTAACATTTATAATTGCAATAAAATAAGGTACACATAAGAATCAGTAAAGTTATTTATACAATACAAACTAAGAATCATCAGTTTATGATGCATGTGCACAATAATTCTTAAATTAAAATTGGTTTGCATAGAAATATACGCGTAACGTAGAGAGACTAAACAGATGAAGCCAGGAGAACAGAAAGGAACCAAATAGAAATTTTGCATGATAAAATTTTTTCATACAGTTCACAGATTAATATTACTATCCTTATGACACAGCTAAAAGCCTTCATACATATTTTAAAAGGACAATTTTGTTTTGGTTGATGTATACAGCGTCTAAGACTTCCACTAACTCGAAGCCAAATCATTGACTGTGAAGAATTTGCTGGCGATTTTCAAAGCTCACTAATATCCGTGTTTTTGGAAGTGAAAATAATTCTCGTTTGCTGTAAGCTCATTACATTTGATGCGTTTAGATTTAAACTTTTACCTTCTTACCTTTCTTTTAATTTTTTTTAGAATTAACACCTTTAATACTATATATAAAAGTTAAATTTAATGTTAATCTGAAATAAAATATTTCTTCACAATTTTTTTAAAAGTTAGTTAGCATCATCGGAGGGATATTAAACAACAGTTTTCGCAGTGCAGCTATTAAATTTATAATTCAGTGATCGTCACCAATAAAATTATTGGAAAATAAAATCACTTTTAAAAATCAGGTATCAAGAACGAAATCATTTCAATATCAAAACATGCCATTATTTTATAAAATAACTTGATGAATGCGCGTTCTACGTACGGGGTGAATAAAGAAAAAGAAAAGAAAAGTATCAATAAATCAGTACTGAACAGGAGTACTAAATCACGCGCAAGATTGAAAGGCATATAGTGACACAATTAATACAGTTAAAATAGTTAATTCACTTATTTATTAATTCATTTATTTATTAGTATTTGGTGGTTTCACACATTTTAATTAAACACAATGCGTTTCATGTAGTTCATCTTATCAGAATAATAATTAACTGTAATCAATACCACTTGGCATGATGCAGTTTTTTGCTGTCAACTCATTTTAGTCAAAATTCATCTCTATCAAGCAATTTTTTCAGGTACTTATCTATTTCGAGGGGCTGCAAGATACCTATTTCCACAGTATTTCCATTAAAATTGATGAGTTTTTGTGCAGTTACAAAAATTATCAAACATATAAAAAAAGCTATGAACCCATATTAATATATTTCGTACCCAATTCATATCCTTCAATATTTGAGTTTTGTGTGAAATACATTTATCAGTAGCAGCAAATTAAAGCCCGAAAATTAAAAAACAAATAGAATTCTTACGATGAGGAGTTAAGAGCATATAGCCATTTATCTGATCTTCGATATACTATTTAGAATATTCCTAAATAGTGATGAAAAAAATTCTTTTTTTTTAATTCTAATTCATTAAAGTTAATACGCTGTATATGCTACCAATGAAAAAATATTTTCTAAAACTACGAAAAATTCGCAGTAGAAATCCTTATTAAAGCTGCATCAATTACCATAATAGCAGTAGCAATTATTACCAAAAGTAATTAAGCTTCATCTGCATATTGTGATTTTCTACGGTTTTCCTAAACAAATAAGTACATTTTCAGCATTAAATTTGCTTTTTAGTCGTAGCTTAATTTTTATTTAAATTAATGCATATTACTAATATTAATTAATAATCATCTGCATTAATAATGGAATGGGAATTTTTTATTGTTCCTTTAAGAAAATAAGTACTCTTTTTCAACTAACTAGACTTTTCAAAACAGAGTTTATTTATTTTTATTTCAATTTATTTATTTTATTTCAATTTATTTATTTTATTTAAATTTATTTATTTTATTTCATTATACCAATATTAATTAAGCATTGGCGTCAATAGTTATATGACGATTTTCCGTGCTTCCTTTAAGTAATTGAGTATCGCTTCCTCATTAATTTTTCCTTTTTTATAAAGTCTATTTTTTATTTCAATACATACATATGATTTAAATAAAATGAGTATAATTGGCTTCAATAATAGTTTGGAGATTTTTTATATTTCTCCTAAACAAATTGATAAATTTTTATTATTAGTTTTGCTTTTAATTTTCCGAATACAATTTTTGATTAAATTTTGTTTATTATGAGTTAATAAGCTTGATTGAAACACATTTTCAAAGTTTAATTATGAACAAAATAAACATGTAACTTCAGACAACTTAATTCTATTATATAGTGACGTAGCTCATCTTAGCTATCACATTCAAATTAATCATTTAGTTTACTTGATAAAACGAAAAAAAAAATAAAGAAAGAACGTGTGATAAACTGACCTAATGTATCTGTATGCTGGCAAAAATCGCTAATGTTATCTTTGAAATATTTGAAAAAAAAAATCGCTTTTGAATTAATTTAAATCAATTTCCAACGCTTGATTAATGAGAAAATTTAATTTTTCAAACTGCTCTACCATACAGACTAATTTGAAATTTTGAAATAATTTTACTTTCGGGGACTGAATTTTCCAATTTGAACCCAATTTGAATCCAATTGAATTTCATAGCTCTAACGATTCTGGAGTAATAAAAAGGACACACACACACAAATTCTTCATTATATTATTCCATGTTACAGCCTGTTTGTAAAATCAAATTTGTGTTGTGCACATACTTAGTGTGCTAACGGTTCTGAAGTAACAAGAGCTCTAAAGGTTCTGGAGTAATAAGAAGAGCACACAAATTGTTCATTTTATCATTATAGTCTATAGCCTATTTGTAAAATCAAATTTGTGCAGTACACATATTTAATATACTAACGGTTCAGAAGTAATAAGAACATAATAAGAGCTCTACCGGTTCTGGAGTAATAAGAAGGACACTCAAATTCTTGATTTTATTATTATAGGTTATAGCCTCTTGTAAAAAAAAAAAATGTGCGTAGCATACTGATTTAAATACTATAACACTCCGTTTTTTTTGTCCAAATAATTAGAATATTCTAATTTTTTTTAAGTTTTGAAAGCATACATTAATACAAAATTTTATTTTGTCCCCTACGAGCAAAAAGTTCAAAGATTGCACGATTTATGGAAATTAAAGAGTTAAAAAATATGAAACAAGGAGTGTAAAAGAATCCTGCTTATGAATTGAGTGATGTTATATTCCCTGTCATTGATAATCACGCCTTCAATATTCAATATTCAGTAGTGGTCAGAAAAAATAGTTTAAAATGAACATCACAGCAAAGAAAAAAAAAATAATAAAAAAAAGAAGGAAATTAGAGAGTTCAAAACTTTCATAAATTGTCAAACCTTGTTGCATCTTCAGTTTTAAATTTTGCTAATCAAACTAACGTGCTAACATTTTAAAAACTTCGGTAAATTAAAATATATAGCTCATGTTTAATTAAAATGTCAAATTTAAACTCAGCAAATATAAATGCAAACTTATTTATCTTTTAGCGTTTTATTAAACTTAAAATCTCCCTCAGGGCCGTAACTCAAAATGACAAAAGACAGCAACGAGACAAACACGTTGAAATGATTAAAAAGAGATTCAACCTACAGTGGAAGGGGAACAAGCTTGAAGAAGAGTGATAAAAACAGGTATGAATAGGTTGGGTGGGAGAAGTAAGAGTTAAACTAAAACAAACGTCTAAACATAAGAAAGGAATGGGATACTAACAAGATTACTAACTAAATTATTAGAATTTTGCAGAATATGGAATCATTCCAAGGAGTCAAGATAGGTAAATGAAGATCAGTGTTGACTGATTTTAGCCGAAAAAAACTCAAACCTATAATTAGAATTCTCTGAACTTGGATATTTCTTCCGATTTTCGGATAATAAGGTAAAACAATCATATTGGCCGAGAATCTGATGCCTCATTATTCAGCCCCCGTATTGATAAGATTTTAAGTTTCATGTGATATTTTCTTCCTTGTAAATTTAAGATACTTTAAGGAAAATAATACTGATTTTAATAACTGGATTTGTTATCAAATTTATTGCTAGTGTGGGCTTATGTATATTAGACAAACTAAACCTTCCCTTTAACTTTGAATGGAAACAAGAAAGATATGAAAAAATGAAAAACTTCCATCACCCACCATAATTGGAATTATAATAATAAGTTTGAGTTTTCTCTGGCTAGAATGAGTTAACACTGCTCTTCATCTACTAATCTTGACTTCTTGGAATGACTTAAAACTTTGAAAAAATTAAATAATTATGTTAAAAACCTCCCTAGTATCCCACTTTTCTTAATATCAGGAAATTATTATAATTTTATTTTATTTCCTGCACCCTGTGCATCTCCCTAATTTTATTATCTTGTTCATTTTGCTTTTCTTCCCCTATTGATTAAACCTTACTTTGTTCCTCATTGCAACGTGATTGTCTCTTGCTTTATCCTGTCATTTTGTGTCTGAACACTGAGGAAAGTTCTTGCTCTATAAAACCAAAAATACTGTATGTCCTTATACATACGGACAATTAAGGGTCTTTAATTTCTATACATGTCAAGCAAAAAAAGGATCTTACCTGCTCCTTCTGTCCTAGCAAATACTGGAGTGCTTGGTTCCCCCGTTCCTAGGCTGTTGGATGCTGTCATATAAAGTTGGTATCTGGTACCGCACTTTAAATTGTGTATAGTGTACCGTTCTTTTTTACTTCCGAGTTTGTCTACTTTCCACTCTTCCTCATCACTTTTGTAATGAATGTTGTACTCTGAAACAAAGTAAAATTCTAAGATTTCCAACATTATTTAACAGTTACACATCTTAATTCACTTTTGATTTTAATATCTTTTTTAAAACAATTTTATCACTTGTATTGCAATCAGGTGCATTTGCAATTTTTTTAATTTACGATGAATATGATGTAAACATTTCGGCTAAATTTTATTTTATACCATTTTTTTCTATTTTTAAAATCAGCATTTAAAATAAAAAGTATAACAGTATAAAATAAATTTCACATTCAGAGTTCTACTTATAAAGTCGTCAAGTAATTTATACATAATTTTCCTTTTTTTATCTATATATATATATATCTAAAATTCCACATATTCATAAGATGATGTTCCATGTTAAATGTAATAGGGAGATTTCTTTGTTTTACGTACCATCCCGTAAGCAAGTTTTGAAGTAAGTGAGTATGCTAGCTTTTTTTTTCGATCCAGTGAATAAACACATTTTGTTTAAAGCTACAATAATGCTTTTGAGGGTGTTACCTTTTACAGCTGTTGAAAGATATCGGAAAAATAGTCTGATGAAGTACACTGGCAATAAAATTGCTAAAAAGAAGGGAAAATTTTGGGAAATTGGTAAGTATTGGGTAAGTATTCTAAATGTGCAGTCTTTACCGAATATCTATGATGATTTTGTAAATTATTTTTATTGTTAAGGAGACCAAAAAATTTTATATTCGAAGAAACACCCAACGAAACATATTTCAAATTCAAAAGTTGGAACTTTTTTCTCAAAGTTGTAATTTTATAGTTATGAATTATGTTACGTTGACTTCAAACAGCCAAACATACAAATTAACAGACAGAGTAAATGTAACATTACCAATACTTTGTAACAATGGATCTGTTTTACGTTTAAAAGCTCTAAAAGCTCAAATAATAGTGTTTGGATGTAAAATAAATTAGTTAGCAAGAGAACACAAAATACAACATCATCTCGATGAACGGCTCAAACGTTGAGTTAAATTGCCGTTGATTTGTGTGCACTGCTTTGGATTGCAGAATAAATGTTGAAGAATCATTCTCCAAAATTTCCCTTTATTAATTTTGCTGATTTATTATAATTTAAGACGTTTGTTTATGAGGTTTTCGCAAACTTCATATTTCATATTATACGAATCGATTTCCTATCAAAATTGAAATACCTGCTGAAAAAATAAAGTTTGAGGACAATATAAATCACTCAAGAAAAAAAGCGATTTCAGTTAGTTCGACTGCATACAAACTGCGTTCTACATCGAATTCGAAATATCACTTCTGCCCTCCAGATTGTGCAATTGGTGTAATAAAACTAATGTCTTCATTTCCATTTTTTATAGCTTGAGGAGGGAGGAGGGAACATTTCAAAAGCAGCAGAGTCAACGACGACCCTTTTTTAAACTTTAAAAATGAAACTCAAGTTGATATATACTTTATAAAAATAATAAAATTAATATGAGAAAAAATTTACGATGATAATATTAGATTGAACACAATGTTTAGAGTCCTCTATTTCTGTTTTAATATTTACTGCAATATAAATATTTAATGCCTTGATAAAATTCAGCTTTTATTTTAATTATTATTTAACGGTTCTAAATTATTGTATTGGGTGCGATGGAAAATGGGAAAGATGTTATTAGCATATATTTTAGAAAAAAAAGCGAATTTTTACATTTTATTGCATTTTGAGAACGCATAAAAGTAAAATTATGAATAAAAAGCGGCAATTCTGATATTAAAAAATCAAGGAAAGGATATTCCATTGATTTTTTTTTTTTGGATTTCATGTTAAAATTTTATTAAAGTTGTGAAATTTTTTCCCTTCATGGTCTTCCGTTGAAGTGAAATTAATGACAAAATTAAATGGGAAAATTAAACAAAAATTGATAAGGAAAAGAATACTTGTATTTGGGATGCAGGGAGATTGAATAAAAAACAAAATAGGTGGTCCAGAAATTTGAAAATATTTTGACTTCAATTTATTTAAGAGAATAAGAAGAAACTTCCTAATATTAACAAGAGACGTAGATCAATAACTTTTCAAGAATGCGATCGACGTAAGCTTAAGTTTTAACATAGGGACGAAAGAGAACAAGGAAGACTCATGTTGACATGGAAAATAAATGGTGGGAAATGAGAGGAACTAGGAAGGATGAGCCTGCTTATCCGGAATGATATCTGCTGCAACTGACCGGTAGGGGTGCTGAATTAAGCTGAAAACCTTTTATGCTATTGCAGTGTAAAAAATTCCGGATCAAATTACAACAAAAAGTACTGGCACCTTAAGTATAGCATCTGTAAAATCATTTTAACATAAAATTCATTTTTATCCTAAAATTTTATACCGTAATTTTTATAGTAATATTTGATGCAAAATCTGTAAATCACTGTAATAAAAAAATATTATAAAAAATTTACGATATATCAGATTTTCAGTTTCGTAAAACGTAACGGCAGAAAAAGATTTTTCGGTAAAAAGTGCTGTCCATATAAGTGTCGATAATTTTTTCCGTAATTTGATTTATAATTTTCTACAGTGTAGAGACGAAGAGGGTATATCAATTATATTTTTAGTATGAAAAAGCTAGTTTAGATTTGAATCAATCTTTGAGCAAGATTTAAATTTTTTCTAGATTCATCTGGCAGTGTGATTTAAAATTATCTTATTAAATTAAAATACCTTAAATTAATAAAATAGTTCAGCTGCATGTGCAAAATAAAAAGCGAACACTCTGATTGAAGTGTCAACTACTGTTGATATTTCAAGCTATGAAATCAGTTACAGAAATGCTCTTTCTCTGAATAAACTGTCTCGCTTTCAAAAAAATTTGTATTTTCGATTGGTAGAGCATAAAGTTTTCCGAAAACTGGAAAATTTGGTTACAAACAGCTAAGGTTGAAAGTGGTTAGTGAATGTAATTTTTTTTGCGTATTTCGCCTAATGTCCGGAACTAATAAAGTGAATTAAAATATTTTTACGTCATTTTTATACACTTATTTATCTAAAGAAGAAATATAAAAAAGTATTTTTTTTAATTATTTAATTTTTTTTTTAAAATTTGAATTACTAATGGTCAAAAGATTTTTCAATTAAAATGTATAAACATTTTTACATCAATTTATTCTATGTAATTTTAAATAAAATCAATTCCAAATTTAAAGGGAATCTGCCGAATAATTCCTGAGGATTCTTTGTGCTATTAAAAAAATGTAAAACACGAAAGTAACAGAAATGTTTCAAAACTTTTGACCTCTCTCCTGAGTAACCTATTAAAACTGTATTTTCCAGACTGCGGCAAACCCCTACATAATGCAAAGCTAGGATTCAAGTACTTTTGAAAAAAACTAGTTTATACTGAAAAATTACGTTTCTTTGTCCTATTTCATTATCTTGTCTTACTTCATTATCATTATCGTTCTTAAAGTATCATTTTCGCAAACTATTTATCATATTTAAAGTTATTTTCTTTCCTCATTAAAATTGCATTATAATAAGCGCAAATTAAACCATTAGATGAAAAATGAGTAAGGTGCTCTCTCTATCTTTAGTTTTCTCACAGTACATTATTCAGCAGTCGGCATATGTTTATTGTTACATAATAGTATTCCGCTTAAAATAAAGTTAGTCCATTTCTATCCCTAAATTATTCTCCACACATCTAAGTTCAATAGCAACTTTTGTAGACAAACACACATTTGAACAGCGAAATTCTAAAATCTCTTTATGTTTCTTTTAAAAGGAAACAGTATGAGAAAAAATAAATAATTAGCAAATGAACTTGCTTTTCTTTTTTTTCCTTCTCACTTTTTGCTTTACAAAACTTTTACTTTTTGCTACGTTAAAAGAGAGAATGATACCGTCATTCGGGGCTACTTTGTGCAGCAGGGGCTACTTTGTGCAAATTCGAATTTGGCATTTTTCAAGTGCTGCTATTCAGTATTATGTTCATTTCAAGTTAAAAATGTGTGAAATTTGAAGATAGAAGTCTCTTCTATTACTACAAAAAATTTTTCGAATTTTAAAACAATCTCAGAGTGTGTTTCGTTCATCCAATGTCAACAATTTTCCGAGGACGTCGGATGTCGAAAAATGTGCGTGGAAACTTTAGCTGTGAAATGCAAAGATGTTGATAAAACAACTGTCGCAAGTGCAAAATATTTTATTTATACATTAACAATTATATCATGTTAGCGTTAAAAATTACATATTAATAAGCAATTATATCATGTTAGCGTTAAAAAAAATTTAAAATTAATAACAAATAAACGGAAAATGAAAAAAAAATGCACTGCGGGGCTACTTTGTGCAGAGTTTCATTCGTTTTTTTTTCGACAGAAAAATTGTCAGACGTTATAAAAAAAAAATCTGGAACGAGAAACTAC